CTCCGGTTCTGCAGAACATCTACAAGGCGCCGGAGCGTGTCCGTTTGCTCCCTCATTAGTCCAAGCAGCGTTTGAGTCGCCTGCTGGTCTTCCTGCCGCCACCTGTCCTCCCGTTCGCTGTGTGATCGCTGGTATTGTGACATGTTCTCCCTCCACTGGGTCTGCTGTGCCGCCTCGGCTCAGGAGCAGCCCATAAGTTCTGAGAACATCTTGTTCCGTGTCCTTCTCTTTCGTCGCCTGATCTGCGCCAGCCTCTGGGAGGGGGATGCCGGGGTAGCTTGGGAGACACTCGCAGCTGTGGGATGGGAAAAAGGGAGTGAATTCCTCAGAAAGATACAGTTTTGCGAACAATGAATATAGTCTCTCTGTGAACAAGACCATGCACAGCACCTATCACACTCGCACTCAGTACAAGGTCGAATTTTCGGCCTTCCCATTGAGTGCCTGGGGTCTTGCAGTACACATCACACAAGCGGGTCCGGACAACAGAATTCGGCTAGCAGGCGGACATGGTAAGCCGTAGACTTTTGCTTAAAGCTTAATTTATAGCAGTGCCCTCCTTTCACGTTCCAAGCAATGCTCCTAGCGTTGGCCAGTTCCTGCTGCCGGCAATCCGGTCAGCATGAACTCTGCCCCTGTCCCACCCCCCTCGCGGCTGTCCCTGGGAAAGATCCCTCCATGCTGCCCCTGTCACGCCTCCACCGCGTGGCTGTAAACGGCCGGTTACAGTTATGTAAAGGAACAGGCAATCAGTCCCAATACTAACATTCCCCTAATTCAAAGCAGGTCACCATGAGTGATATCACTCTGATGAGGATTTCAGAGACAGAGAAAGACCGCATGCTGCGTGAATGCCAGCAAGCACCAGGGCTGTATGCCGCCATGCTTTGCGAGGCAATGATCCCGGAGTACTTGCTGCTAGCCTGGCGCGGAAAAGTTTCCTACCACGGAGGACGCAATAAGGCCGCTCTCCCCAGGAACCTGATGCAAAGGCTTTCACAATACCTCCAGGAGACCTTCGTGGAGATGTCCCAGGAGGATTTCTGCTCTATCCCCGGACATATTGACAGAATTTTCCAGTAGCTGCACTGGAAAGGACTAAAAACTAAAGCGCCTAGGGCAAACTAATCATGAAAAACCCATTGTTAAGATACCATTCCTATTCTGTTCAAAATAAATGTTTAAAACACTTACCTACTGATGTTTCCCCTGATTCACGGTCTGGGTTACTGCCTTGGGAGGTTTGGTAGGGGATCTCCGTGAGGGTGATGAAGAGATCCTGGCTGTCGGGGAAATCAGCGTTGAAAGCGCTGTCGACTGCCTCATCCTCCTCATCTCCTTCCTCATCTTCCCTGTCCGCGAACATCTCCGAGGAAGCGGCCGTCGACAATACCCCATCGTCAGAGTCCACGGACAGTGGTGGGGTAGTGGTGGCGGCCGCACCTAGAATGGAATGCAGTGCCTCGTAGAAACGGCTTGTCTGGGGCTGGGATCCGGAGCGTCCGTTTGACTCTTTGGTCTTCTGGTACCCTTGTCTCAGCTCTTTGATTTTCACACGGCACTGCGTTGCATCCCGGCTGTATCCTCTCTCTGTCATGGCTTTGGAGATCTTCTCGTAGATCTTTGCATTCCGTTTTTTCGATCGCAGCTCCGAAAGCACCGACTCATCACCCCACACAGCGATCAGATCCAAGACTTCCCGATCAGTCCATGCTGGGGCCCTCTTTCTATTCTGAGATTGCATGGTCACCTCTGCTGGAGAGCTCTGCATCGTTGCCAGTGCTGCTGAGCTCGCCACGATGTCCAAACAGGAAATGAGATTCAAACTGCCCAGACAGGAAAAGGAATTCAAATTTTCCCGGGGCTTTTCCTGTGTGGCTGGTCAGAGCATCCGAGCTCGGACTGCTGTCCAGAGCGTCAACAGAGTGGTGCACTGTGGGATAGCTCCCGGAGCTATTAGCGTCGAATTACATCCACACCTACCCTAATTCGACATGGCCATGTCGAATTTAGCGCTACTCTCCTCGTCGGGGAGGAGTACAGAAATCGATTTAAAGAGACCTCTATGTCTAAATAAATAGCTTCGTTGTGTGGACGGGTGCAGGGTTAATTCGAGTTAACGCTGCTAAATTCGACATAACCTCCTAGTGTAGACCAGGCCTAAGTGACAGACCAATCAAAGATTAATACTAAAACCTATCTAATGCTAAGGATTATTAACCCCCACATGCAATGGCTACAAGGAATATTTTTGTTGAGTTTATGCTGTAGATTACAGACCTATCATTTTAATGGCCATGGGTAGTGATCTGCAGAGCCCCGAAGAGAATTTGGGATTGATTTTCTGTTCCCAATAATTTTTCAGTCCCTGGGTTAAAGCAGTAGTCTTAGTACCTCTTTATGAAGCAGTGGGAGACCTCCCATTTCTCAGCACTGAACTTCAAGCCCTTCAGCAAGCTAAAGAGCTCCAAAGGGGTTCTCATCCATTCCTGAATGGAGGGAGGGTATCTGCTACACACAACACCGAGGGTGGGGTATGTAAAACAAAGAAAAAATGGTAGGATTCTTAAAGCCCCAGAAGAAACAAAGTGAACCACTATGGACCAGGGTTGGGAGGGAAAATGTTATGGTGACTTTACTGATTGTTTTAGAAGCCTAGAGGAGTCTCTTAATAGTTATGGAATCCTTAGGAGAGGATAACACTTGCAAGGATTTTGTTGTTCTTGTTGTTTTTGTTCTAAGCAGCAAATTCTATTGTGGCCCCTTTGAAGAGAATCTGTTTTTTTGTGTTGAGATTGACAGGTGTAGGAGAACCAGTACTGGAATGCACCTGCCAGAACTGGAGTTAGTAACAGCGATACTTGTGGCATTGGCGGGCTTGCGTATAGGCAGTGTAAAAGCCCCCAAAACTTTTCATGACTGCCCATCCTGAGATGATGGTGTGACTATTACACTGATAGGATTCAGTCTTAGTTGGTCCTGGTGAAATTCCACAATGAATGTAGCTGCTGAGTTCAAATTTAAGGTATTCTCCATTACAACAGGCTTCATCCTGGCTTGGTTTGTATTTTTAGTCAGAGGCCTCTCTCATAGACTTTAAGGCCAGAAGGGACTATAATCTACTCTGACCTCCTACACATTGCAGGCCACAGAATCATTCCTGTAAAACTCCGGCTGAATTACTGAAGTCCTCAAATCATGATTTAAAGACTTCAAGTTACAGAGAATTCACCATTTACACTAGTTTAAACCTGCAAGTGACCCATGCCCCATCCTGTAGAGAAAGGCAAAAATCCCCCAGGGTTTCTGCCAATCTGACCGAGGGAAAAATTCCTTCGCATCCGTAAATATGGTGATCAGTTAGACCCCAAGCATGTGGGCAGGACCCAGAGCCAGATATATAATAAAGAATTCTCTGTTGTAACTTGGAGTCCTCCCCATCTTATGTTCCATACCCGACCTTTGGAGATATTTGTACTAGCAGTCGCAGATTGGCTACATGCCATTGTAAGCAGTCTCATCATACCATCCCCTCCATAAACGTATCAAGCTCAGTCTTGAAGCCAGTTAGGTTTTTTTCTCCCACTGCTCCCCTTGGAAGGCTGGGTTCCAGAACATCACTCGTCTGATGGTTAGAAACCTTTGTGTAATTTCAAGCCTAAGCTTATTGATGACCAGTTTATATCCATTAATTCTTGTGTCAACATTGGTGTTTAACTTAAATAAACACCAGGGTGGGGAGGAGTTAGCCCTCTGATTTATTTATAGCAGGAACAGGAACATTTTAGTTTATTATTATTCTCAACAGATTGTATTATGCATAAAGCGCTGCCACTAAAATTAGCATCACAAGTGATAGTGAGCCAATACAGAGATTCAGTGCTCTCTTCTGCAGCACACAGTTCCACCAACACTGCATACTTTGCCAATGACATTCAAACAACACATGGGGATTTGGAGATGCAATACCTAGCAATGATTGTCCAGACCAGAGGGGGGAAAGCACCATTTTTTTAAAACAGAAATTCTAACTAGGTTCAAAAGTGTCTGATTTAAAACAAAAAAAATCCTGTTTGCACAGATTTTGCCCTTTTCACTTCTAATCAGAAGCAGAAATCATGAAGTTTCAAGAGTGACTATTCTCATGCGAGTTTTGTCATGAATTAAAAAAAAGTACCCCTAGAATACTGTAATTTCCATGAAGTTTTCTGAGTTAAGATATTCAGATATTTTGGACAAAGATCAGACCGACACTCGAACTTTCAAATACTTTTCTCAGTGGAAGCACTGATGTTCTTTCATTATTAAAAGCCATTTTTAAAAAATATAATTATAAATGTGTTTTTCACTTTGTAATTTTAAATTGCAAAAATATTTGTTTGTTTTCTGGGAAATCCCTTCCTGATGTTTCTCCAATGTGTCTTGATACACTGGAGTCTACCAGAAGACAAGCTTCTTATAATTTCAGCTAACTTTTTTAGAAAGGATATCATCAACTAGAGTTGGAGCACAAAACCTATTGTCAATAGAAATGTTCCCATGCCATTCTTTATTATTATTATTATTAACAATCCCAACAATACAGTTTGGGGAAAGGAAAACACAACCCAGAAGCATTGTCCTGCCATGTTTTCAACTCAATAATTATAAGATTAGACTAGTGTATAACAACTGGAATGTGAAATTGACTAGAAATAAAACTGAAACTGATTAATTTTTCACTGTTCAAAACTATAGTAGTAACTCTATATTGTTCTCCGGGTATATTTCTGACAAATTTGCAGGATGCTTACGTATCTAGTGTAGACCACCTGGACTCTTGTCATCAAGCAAGTCCACTGTTTCCAGAAACAAACAAAACAGTCCTTGTGGTGTAGCTTATTAGAATGCTATTAAAATCATCTTCTAGATGGCAACTTGTAATGAACCCACCCAACTAAAAAGGTTGCTTCGTTTTCCAGTTTCACGGCTGCATTGAAAGGGGATTTCTTAAAGAGATAATGATGCATTCAGCATTGGCTTTGTCACTCCTGCTAATCGCAGTTTCTTCCAACCTCGCGATGGCAATCAAAAAGGAAAAAAGAGCTCCCCAGACGCTGTCGAGAGGTGCAGTATGTTCACTTTATTTAATTGTTTAGTTAATATAAAATGCAGCCACATGTTTAAATTCAATATACTCTTCTATTTTAAGACATTTGATAGCATATGATGTTTATTTTAAGAGTGCTTATTTTCTCTGAAAAGGGCTATATGAAAAGAGCACTTTTTGTTATTCAACAGATCTACCCCTTGTGTGCATTCACTCATAACTTTACATTCCCACCCCTCACGTTTATTGATTTTTTCTCCTTTTAGCTCTGCAAAACCAGCAGAGCTAACAGTGAGTAGGGCTCTGTTTCTTCTCGTGCAATGAAATAATTTACACAGTTCCAATAAGTTATGCCTGCGCAAACCCAATGAAGCACTGGAGTTGTACAGATAGCACTGAGGGCCTCTCTCACGGAGTCCACTCACCACTAGGTCGCCTCCTCCTGGCTGCTCTGGGAATTAGCTCCACTCTGGTCTGGCATACCTTTCCTCACCCCGTGGTCTCTCGCTGGAACTCAGGGTATTCCTTCTTCGTGACTTAGCCCTCCAGCCAGGTCACTGTACAGCCCTCCCACTCCAGGGTATCAGAGTCCCTTTGGGCATCTGTCCCAGGCAGTCTTTGGCTCCACTGCTCAGTTTATGCTACTATCCCAGTGGCTGGTAGGGGAACGTGGGCCCACCTACTACTCTCCAGGTGCCAGGTCAGGCACTCTATGTCCAGTACCTATGGTCTGCTTGCCAGGGCCGGCTCCAGGCACCAGCTCAGCAAGCAGGTGCTTGGGGCAGCCAAGGGGAAGAGGCGGCACATCGGGATCTTCGGCGGCAATTCAGCGGCGGGTCCCTCGGTCCCTCTCGGAGGGAAGGACCTGCCACCGAATTGCCGCCAAAGAAGAAAGCAGCGCGGTGCAGCTGCCGCCGATCGCGGCCTTTTATTATTATTAATTATTATTATTCGCCGCTTGGGGCAGCAAAAACCCTGGAGCCGGCCCTGCTGCTTGCACCCAGACCCTACTGCTGTTTCCCTGGCCTCCTTCCTATTTCTTTGCTCTCACCCTCTAGCCTCCCCACTCTCTAGGTTTATCAGCCCAAATCCCCTTCTCCCAGGGAGTGACTGCAGAACACTTCCCCTGCAGCAGCTTTCTGCTGGTAACTTCCTGGCTTTATACCAGCCCTGCCTGTTCCTTCTCAGCTGGGTTCAACCTTCAATCAGCCTTTCAAGCTCTGTCTCTCCTTCAGTTGCAGCCTATCAGGTTAATTCACTTAACCTGCACTGCCTTGTGTGGCATATCACAGCCTCATTTGGCCTGCAGAACCTGTTACTAATAATGATGTACTAGAAACAAATAACCCAACTTGACACATTTAACATGGAAATCACAGACTTCCTCCCCTCCCACACACACTATTTTTGCTTAATTGTTTTCCAGAACAGAAGCACATTTAGAGACTGACCAATGAGGATGCTCACATATCTATCTCCTGTCCTTTAGCTGTTCATTTTCACACTTAAAGAAGTTCCTTGTTATGCAAAATTTTCAACTTTAATGTTAACTACTCTTTAACTTTAAATGTAATGATTTTCTCTCTGTTAATTCCCTTAAGAATATGGGTACAGGAATAGTTTAGGAGCTCTGCAAGGTCCTTGCCACTTCTCCATCTCCATTTGTGGAATTTGGATAAGATTACTTGCTTTGCATAATCTCCATCTACCTCCCCTGCCTCTCCCTATCATGTAATGTTTAAGAATTCTATAGTCCTCAACTACCCATAACTCACACTTGGCAAAATTCATCCCACATAAAGAGAATTAGCACAAGGCACATGCACCATATAACTCCCATCTAATCCCAAGTACCCCTGAGGGCTCACACATCCTTCCATGCAAAGAGAGGGGAACTCTCTGTAGCTGAAGGTCTGATAACCTATTGCAATCATACTGAAGTCCTACAGTCCTTGACCAGCAATGCTTTAAAAAAATGCCAGGACCAAGCCCTAATATGTCACTCCACATAGGACAGGATTGAAAATGGAAGCTAGAATCATTTGAATTTTGCAGCATAGGGCATCATTCCTTATTTTGGAAATGTGGAAGAAATAGTCATTGACAGCATGTGACAGCTTGCTTGCTCTGAATTCCAAGCTTCTGAGACACAGTATAAGTTTAAGTATGTAACTTGCAGCCCCCAGAACTCATAAGGGAGTATATTGCTTTTTCCAGCAGTCCAGATTGCTAAGAAATCTCTACTACAATAAAGAGACCTTATATTAGCTCTTCTGAGCTATAAAACAACCCCCTACCTCAGTCACTGAATCAAGCCAAGCTCAGCTGCTTATTGGTCAAACAGATCAGAATAATATTATCAACCTGAGAGATACATCGTTAACCTAAATGGTCCCCCTTAAACGATAGGAGGCCAAGAGATACCAGATTTAAAACATCTCAGGCTTTCCTCTTTAACCCATTAGAATGCAGCCCAAATCTTATCGAAGATCAAATACTGACAAGACTGGATAAGGAAAGAGATTGAACAATATTGGCTGTTGTCACTAGGTGGAGCTTTACTACAAGATCCTACATGGTTAGATTGACCAAGATACTCAGTGGTGAAGAATCAGGCAGGATCTTCAGCTGGTTCCAAATCCAAATCAATTGGTGTTCAACTCTTGCAGCAATAGTACTCCCACCACAGCCTTAGTAGGGAAGTAACATTGTTGAGGAGTCTGAACCTATTAAACAAGAACCTGCACATTGAGGATCTGATAAGGCACATGAATCAATTGGACAATACCCTCCTCAAGACCAGAAAATGACTAGGTGGGGATAAGTGGAGAGGCTGGTAATTCATCTGGAAATATTTTTAATATTAATTCTTGATAAAGACTGCATGAACAGACTTAGTGTTGCCAACTCCTAATGTTAAAAAAAATCATGATTCAGGCCCCAAAATTATGAGATTAGATTAAAAATTATGAGTTTTTTTTTTTAAATATTGATTTTGGAATCCTTTTGTCTGTTGGTATTTGAAATTTTAGGGGTCACGTTTTCAAACTTTTCTCCACAACTATGAGGGTTGGGAACTCTTTTTTCATCCTACTTTTGTCCCCTGACTTCAGGTTCTGCATCAAATGCAGATCAGCCAGACTCAGGGACTTGAGGACCGATGAAGATTGTAAATTCCACTAGGTGCTTGCCTAAGTGCTTAAGTTTGGCAAGTAACTTGCCTAGGTGTTTTTGAAATTCCAAGTTGGTGCCTATCTGCCTCTTTAGAAATTTGAATACCTTTGTAAACCTGTTCCCTGGTCCTTTGTGCCTAAGTTTACTTATCTGTTAAATTAGTGTAATACTCAAAAGTTGAGACTTCATATCTACATGGAGTTTTGAAGGCACTGGATAAAAAAAATCCTATCTCTGTGCAAGATATTGATAAATGCCCAAAACAGAAGTTATTTTCAAGACTCTGTTGATTAATCCCTCCATTGTGATTACAGGCTGGGGAGATGATATTACTTGGGTGCAAACCTATGAAGAAGGGCTTTTTCAAGCAAGAAAAAGGTAAAGAACATTTAGAAAAGATAAAGTTGTCAAGTCAGCTGAACTATCTAGTCAAAGTACTGTAAAGAAACAAAGCAAAACAAAAAATCCCACTCTAGCTAATATAGAAAGCATCTTGTAACAAAACAAAAATGTAATTCTATAAATAAAAGCAACATCTTTTTGGTAATCGCACTGTGGCTTACTGCATCAAGCACTGTTAGACAAGATGTTGGCATTTATGTGTGTGCTATGGAATAGAAAATTGCCACAGGATAAATGTCTATTATCAGAAAGTAAACAGACTTGTTTTCATGATGGTATTTATCTTTGATTAATTACTCAGCTTTACCACAAGAGCATGAGACAGTAATAGAACCTCAGGCAACATTCTGTTGTATTAACTATCATCTCAATGCTTTCCCCTTTGGCTTATAGTATTAAATACATGGGCAGTTCCTCACTGTTCACAACTCGTCCAGAATGAGTTCTTGAATAAGCATCACTATGGATTCAGTGGGAAGTACACTTGAGGATTCCTGTACACCTCATAACCTCACTCTCCTCCAGATCACTCCTCCAAACCCACTTCTTTCTACAGCAACAAAGCACAGTCTCAGGCCAACCTACCAACTCAGGTTTAAAAGAAGGGCAACTAATCTATTTCATACCCTGTGAAAGTAAGGAGGAAAATCCTGCTGAGCACTATTGACTACAGTGGCAAAACACATAGTAATAAGCACTGTGCTGAGCACGAGAACTGGTCAAAAAAAGAATAAAAATTTGTCTCACAAGATTTGGGTATTTTAATTACCGTATACAGGGCCGGCTTTAGCAAGTGGGGCTTGTACTCACTGGGCGGCGCTCTGAATCTTCAGCGGCACTTCGGACTGCCGCGCTCTGGCCGGGGTTGCGGAGCCACGTGGTTGCTGGGCTCTGGCCGGCGCTCTGACCGGGGAACGGCACCGCGGGGCTTGCCAGGCTCGGGCCGGCACTCCAGCCGGGGGGAGCGGGGCCGCAGGGCTCCCGCCGGGGGAGTGGAGCCGCAGGGCTTGCCGCGCTCCGGCCAGGGGAGTGGGGCCCTCTTAGGCGCGGGGCCCGATTCCGGGGAATCGGCAGAATCGGCCTAAAGCCGGCCCTGACCATATATACTCGTTCATAAGCCGAATTTTTTTAGTAAAAAAGGGAAGCACCAGAGAAGGGGGTCAGCTTATGAACGGGTGTAGATAGGGAAAGGTGGGACACAGCCTCTCCCCCCAACAGAGGGAGCAAGGAGAAGCAGCAGAGCCAGAAGGGAAGAGGCGGGGCCAGAATCTCTCCGCTTCTGGCCACACTGCTCTCCCCCCAGCCTCTGTAGCAGCTGCAGCTCCGGGGCTGGCAGGCTGCAGCCGTGCCGCTCAGCCCGCCCCCCAGAGCAGGCTGTGGCCATGCCGCTTGGGCGCTGGAGCACGCTGCGGCCGTGCCGCCCGTCCCAGCCCGCTGGAACATGCTGCGGCCGCGCCGCCCGGTCTGGCCCGCTGGAGCAGCTCCAGCCAGGCCAGAGACATCCTTCCCAGATAAGGTGGGAAGAGATGAGATGGGGAGAGTGTGGGGGTCCCGGGCTAGGGGGTGGGGTCATGTGGGGTGGGGTCACAGGGGTTACTCCCCTCCCCCCCAGCTTCTCCCCCCCCCCCCAAAATTTCCCCACCAGTTGCTGTCCCAGCCGTCAGGGTAAGTAGCTGGCACGCCGGGACACTTCGTTTACTAAGGTTTACCTCTGTGCCTGCGGACGCTCGAGGTAAACAAACCATCTCGGCCCGCCAGCGGCTTATCCTCATGGCCTGGGAGCCAAAGTTTGCTGACTCCTGAATGATAGGGTTGGCTTATGAACGGGTCATAAAAATTTTCCATTTTTACTTATCCATCTTGGGGGGGTCGGCTTATAAACGAACCGGCTTATGATCGAGTATATACAGTACTTTTTTCCCAAAAATGTTGAAAGATATCTAAATTTCATCAACATTTTTCATTTGGGGAAAAATTTAAGCCAATGCCGCAGCTGCTCAACACCCCCCTCCGCCCCCCAATTTTTCAATGAAACTTTTCATAGCCAATTTTCAAGGGAGGGGCAGTTTAATCAAAAATAGATTTTTTAATGAAAAAAAACCTTGTAGAAAACCAGAGCAAGGAAATTTTCACTAGCTCTACTCAGTAGTAAGTGTCCACAAGACTGGGCTACTAGGTTGGAGAATGCTTCTCTTTGTAAGCCTTCCTGGAACTATATATTAAGCAATAATAAAAAGATGATCCTCTGCAGTCTCCAAGCTGAGAACTTCTCAGTTTAGAATATATCTTGCATCTCTATTTTGTTGCGTTCCTTTTTATGAACGAGTTACATGACACTCAGAAATATGCTCCATTCTTCCCAATGCCTCAGTCTAGTTATTAGTTTGGTGTAACATAAGAAACAACAGCAGTTGCATATCCAGGCCTGTTTATCCAAGTGACTCTAATTTTACACTCATCAGATGATCTAATTATGTATTTTTTGTTGTTATTAAAGTAACAAACCACTGATGGTCATTCATCATCTGGAGGACTGTCAATACTGCCAAGGTAATTTCAATTGTCTGATTGTTAAACTAATTTAAGGATTTTTAGAACATATATCCGCCAATATCTAGATTATTATATGGCCCCTTTCTATAGTTATCTGTAACACTGAATCACTTTCTCAGATGTGCTGCATATTCAATAGAAAGTATCTCCAAAAAGTAAATAATGAAAACAGGCTGCTTACAAACCCCACCACAAGCCTTTTACAACAGAGAACATGAAAAAATACCTTACAAACCTGTTCTGCAAAGCCTGATGCAGTATTAGTCAGTTTAAATTAAGATGCATGAATTTACTCCTAACTCATTGAACAGATTTAATATTGTTCTTTCCTCCTGAACTGGTAACCAGAGAAGGAGACTGGGGCATGACTGCTGAAATTGACCTAAGAAGAATTTACGGAGAATAATACACTTTTGTCAAGCTGTTGCTTGACACCCATTGAAATGAAAGGCTTCAGAAATAACAGGAGAAAGCTTCCATTTGTATAGCTGAAGGTTGTCCCGACACAGGACAAAACCAAAATGTGGTGATAGATCTGTGACCTGTCTCATTAGAAATGTGGAGAAAGCAAAGTCTCATGCATATGTTGCCCCAGTGTAGAAGGAAAAATAGATTTTGGAAGCAGTGATTGAGAACAGCTTTTAAAACCATCACAACATCTTTTTCTAGCACTCAAGAAGGTTTTTGCAGAAAATGAGGAAATACAAGAAATGGCTCAAAATAACTTCATCATGCTAAACCTCATGGTAAGGAGATATATATTGCACGTTTTAAATTGATGCATTTCAGCATATGTTGTCATTTTAGTATTATCTACCATGGCTTCATATGCTCCTATTCGCTAGTTTCACAAAGTGCAAATGAATATTTAATAATTTGCTTTTAATTTCCTGCCAGCATGAAACCACAGATAAGAACTTGTCACCTGATGGACAATATGTACCTCGAATCATGTTTGTAGGTATGCACAATATATATCTTCTTAAAATGAAACCTCATTTCAATAGTATGTATGTGTTATAGAAATTTTCTCCCTCATGATATACAGAATACTTAACATTTTAATTTATTAATTTTTGAGTTAGCATGGTATATACCAAACCCTTGCCTCCTTCAAGGCATCAAACAAAACCATAGAAATGTAGGGCTGGAAGGGATCATGAGAAATCACCTAGTCCATCTGCCTGCACTGAGGCAGGGTTAAATATGCCTAGATCATCCTTGACAGGTGTTTGTCTTTAAAACCTCCAATGATGGGGACTCCACAACCTTCCTTGGAAGTGTATTCCAGAGCTTAACTGCCCTTATAGTTAGAACATTTCCCTTTATATCTAAATCTCCCTTGCTGCAGAATAAGACCATTACTTCTTGTCCTACCTTCAGTGGACATGGAGAAAAACTGATCCTCCTCCTCTTTATAACAGCCTTTTACCTATCTGAAGACTTATCAGTTTAGAGAAGGGAAGAATGAGGGAGTATTTAAATATCTCCTCTAGCAGCGGACAGCACGGACAGACAGATGCGCACACGCACACAGAAAAAGCAAGGCTCATCTCGTCCAGCACACTAGAGGAGTAAGGGATAGGTGAGAGTTGGGGGTGAAGTGTATGTGAAAGTAGCTTGGGTTTGAGTCCCCCCTTCAATCTTAGAATTCCATTACCATAGGCTCTTCCCACTCCTGGGTTGAGCTTGAACATGGTGTGACATTTTCAAAACATTGCCACTTAGTGTAGAATCCTTCGGCCCCTGGGGTGAGGGAGATGGCAGGAGCCAATGGTTCCACATCCTGGAAAGGGGATAATAAATGAAAGGTGCAGCACTGGCAGATGGTGCAGAAGGGGAAGGGATCCACAAGCTATGAAAAAAAAGAGAGAGAGAAGTGATTTAAACAACTTGGATTTAAAATCAGTCCACCAGGCAGCTCGCCACAGATCTGTCCACAAAAGAAATCAATGCTATATACATATTTCCCTGACCCTCCAAAACCAAGCAGAGTCTCAGCTATTGGCAAGTTTGGCAAAAGGAGGAGTTTACTGAGTTGCTTAACTAGAAAGAAATCTCCATGAATGTCTAATAAATTGCTCATACAGCATTGCAATAGTATGTCCCTGCAAATAGTCTCACAGTGGGTGCAGTGTGTATTTGTAATGCACTCATCACTAGGCTGGTAAAAAAGGGATATGTCAGCCTGCAATATAACCCAGCTTTGCACGAGGCCAGCTGATCCCAAAAAGAATTGAATCCAATGCCACATGGGGGTAGTGGTGCTCTGAAGCTGCAATGCAATCCCAGGGCTGCTCAAGTGGAAGAGGTTGTAAATGGGGAAATTATGCTAATGAGTGTTTGACACCACCACCACTCCCGTCGATCCTGGTCCCTCTCTTTCTAAGTGCCAGCCCTTACAGCTGCCATAAGCCCCATGCGGGAGATGAGAGATGGGGGGATGAAGGTGTGATGGGTTGGATCACAGAAACCCCCTTGGGGCTGCCAACTGATGTGCCAAGACTACTTCTGCCCCTGCTTTCCCTGCTAGCTTGGGACTCCAGCACCCTGTCTTGTTGAGCCAGACATGCCAGTCTGCTCTAACACAGACCCAGGCTCTGAACCACGTGCCCCAAAGCTGCAGACTTAACTGAAAGCAACTTAAGAAGTGCTCCTGTCTCTAGCACCCAGATACCCAACTCCCAATGGGGTCCAAACCCCAAATAAATCCGTTTTACCCTGTATAAAACTTATACAGTGTAAACTCAAATTGTTTGCCATCTAGAACACTGACAGAGAGATATGCACAGCTGTTTGCCCCTCCCAGGTATTAATACATACTCTGGGTTAATTAAGAAGTAAAAAGTGAAAGTAGGATTTAAGTGGTTCCAAGCAATAGAAGACAGAACAAAAGTGACAAAAACAACAAGGAGTCCGGCAGCACCTTAAAGACTAACAGATTTATTTGGACATAAGCTTTCGTGGGTAAAAAACCTCACTTCTTCAAATCTGAAGAAGTGAGTTTTTTTACCCACAAAACCTTATGCCCAAACAAATATGTTAGTCTTTAAGGTGCCACCGGACTCCTTGTTGTTTTTGTGGATACAGACTAACACGGCTACCCCCTGATACAGAACAAAATGAATTACCAAGCAAAATAAAAATAAAAAACACGCAAGTCTAAGCCTAGTACAGTAATAACACTGAATACAGATAAAATCTCACCCTCGGAGATGTTTCAATAAGTTTCTTTCACAGACTGGACACCTTCCTAGTCTGGGCACAATCCTTTCCCCTGGTACAGCCCTGGTTCCAGCTCAGGTGGTAGCTAGGGGATTTCTCATGATGGCCGCCCCTTTTGTTCTGGTCAACACACTTATATATCTTTTGCATAAGGCGGGAATCCTTTTTTCCCTCTCTGTGTTCTCACCCCTCCTTCTAAATGGAAAAGCACCAGGTTAAAGATGGATTCCAGTTCAGGAGACATGATCACATGTCACTGTAAGACTTTATTACCCACTTGCCAGCACACACACATACAGGAAGACTTACAAGTAAAACAGAGCCATTTACAGTCAATTGTCCTGGTTGATGGGAGCCATCAAGATTCCAAACCACCATTAATGGCCCACACTTTGCATAATTACAATAGGCCCTCAGAGTTATATTTCATATTTCTAGTTTCAGATACAAGAATGATACATTCATGCAAATAGGATGAACACATTCAGTAGATAAGTTTTGTAATGATACCTTACAAGAAACCTTTTGCATGAAGCATATTTTAGTTACATTATATTCGCACTCATCAGCATACTTTCATAAAATCATATAGAGTGCATCATCACAGAAGGGTATTGTTGACAGGTCCCTATAGTCATTATTTTCAAACAAGTTGCCTCCTTTAGGAAAGGCCCAATGAGGGGGATATAAACCGACAGTTACAAACACACAGAATTGTATCTTCATGGCAAAGGTGGAATTTTCATTTTTTTTTAAACTGTCACAAAGAGAGAGAAATCATGTAGGATCAATGATGGACGAGCTCAGTGTGGCTCTTAAACCCCTGATCTGTAGATCACCAGGAATCCAAGGTGTTCTTCTTGGTGGTCTTCAGAATGAATCATTGTCAAGTCTCAAAATGGTGCACGGGCTATAGCCCTAACTTTGCCTGTGGAGACCTGGGTTCAAATACCTCCACCATCATAGACTCCTTAAGTGACTTGGGCAAATCATTTAGTCTTTTTATGGCTTAGTTCCCCTATTGTAAAATGAGGATAATAGTATTTTCCTACTTTTCTGGGAAGGATGAATGCATTAAAGATTGTGAGGCGCTCAGATACTGTGGTGATCGGACCATATAATTCAAGTTATGAGAATTTTAGTCAGAAAACTTGAGAAGGGAAGTGAGCCAAAGAGAGGATAATAAAAGTTGGCCCTCAGAAAGTAAAAGTCTAGAATCACAGTAATACATGATTCATATAATTTATGTGGCGCTTTCAGAGCCAGAATGCCTTACCCAATGTATGTGCATAGTTTTACATACTGAATATTAGGGCTGTTGATTAATCACAGTTAACTCACGCAATTAACTCAAAAAAAATTAATCGCTATTAATCACAGTTTTAATCAAACTGTTAAACAATAGAATACCAATTGAAATTTATTAAATATTTTGGATTTTTTTCTACATTTCCAAATATACTGATTTCATTTATAACACATAATACAAAGTGTACAGTGCTCACTTTATATTTATTTTTGATTATGAATATTGACTGTAAAAATTATAAGAAATAGTATTTTTCAATTCACCTCAAACAAGTACTATAGTGCAATCTCTTTATCATGAAAGTTGAACTTACAAATGTAGATTTTTTTGTTACATAAGTGCACTCAAAAACAAAACAATGTAAAACTTTAGAGCCTACAAGTCCACTCAGTCCTACTTCTTGTTCAGCCAATCACTAAGATAAATGAGTTTGTTTACATTTATGGGACATAATGCTGCCCTCTTCTTATTTACAATGTTACCTGAAAGCGAGAACAGGCTTTTCCATGGCACTTTTGTAGCCAGCATTGCAAGGTATTTACGTGCCAGATATGCTAAACATTCATATGCCCCTTTATGCTTCGGCCACCTTTCCAGAGGATATGCTTCCATGATGATGACGTTCATTACAAAAATAATGTGTTAATTAAATTTGTGACTGAATTCCTTGAGGGAGAATTGTATGTCTCCTGCTCTGTTTCACCACATTCTGCCATATATTTCATGTTATAGCAGTCTTGGATGATGACGCAGCATGTGGTGTTCATTTTAAGAACACTTTCACTGCAGCTTTGACAAAACGCAAGGAAGGTATCAATGTGAGATTTCTAAGGATAGCTACAGCACTCGACCCAAGGTTTAAGAATCTGAAGTGCCTTCCAAAATCTGAGAGGGACGAGGTGTGGAGCATGCTTTCAGAAGTTTTAAAAGAGCAACACTCCAATGTGGAAACTACAGAATGCAAACCACCAAAAAAGAAAATCAACCTTTGCTAGTGGCATCTGACTCAGATGATGAAAATGAACATGTGTCGGTCTGCGCTGCTTTGGATCGTTATTGAGCAGAACCCACCGTCAGCATGGACACGTGACCTCTGGAATGGTGATTGAAGCATGAAGGGACATATGAATCTTTAGCACATCTGGCATGTAAATATCTTACAACGCCGACTACAATAGTGCCAAGCAAACACCTGTTCTCACTTTCAGGTGACATTATAAACAAGAAGCTGGCAGCATTATCTCCTGCAAATGTAAACAAACTTGTTTGTATTCTATGTTGTAATTGAAATCAATATATTTAAAAATGTAAAAAACATCCAAAATTATTTAAATAAATGGTATTCCATTAGTAACACGCGATTAATTGTGCGATTAATGACAATTTTTTTAATCACACGATTAATCGCAATTACTTTTTAAATTGCTTGACAGCCCTACTGAATATATATTCAATCGGACTGGCCTCTTTTTGTGATATTTTCCCTTAAACATGCAATAGAATATACATACTGGTGAACATAACATATATCCCTATTTAACAATTAATACATAATATTTAAAATAAATCTGTCACTCGTTCAGTACATCATAGTGTAATAAGAACTCTGGGTGGAAAAGAATGTAATTATTCCATTTGTTCTAAATTAGTATCTTCCAAAACTATATTTAAGTTGACTCTGCCTCATACTCACAACCAGTAGACATTGAAGATGCTGTTACTGAGAATGCAATGGGATAATTGTATAATATGTCTACTTTTTCAGACCCCTCTCTCACAGTAAGAGCTGATATCACTGGAAGATATTCTAATCGACTCTATACTTACGAACCACAAGACATACCATTCTGTAAGTATCCACATTGTGAATGCTTTGCATTTCACACTGTGACCAGTGAGACATACCCTACCCATTGACCTGTGCTTGAGGATCAGACAGCATTTCATTGTCCTTCCTGCTCCGCACCCCAAAAAAACCTAGGGAAATTCTTGCAAGGGGTCGAACACTCTGGTCCTGATCCAGCAAAGCATTTAAGTACACAAATACTCCCACTGAAATTAGTAGGACTACTCAATTGAGTCAATTTACGCATGCGTTCATAAGTTTACAGGACCAGGGTTTAACTGGAACAGTGAAAATTACTATCCACAAAAGGGCTGTCAAATGCACAAAGTAAACAGCCTAGGGAAAAAATTGAGAAAATATTTTTCTACCAACTTTTTTAATTTAGAGTTACTTAGGTACAACCTAGGATTACTCATTGTCGGACAGAAAAGTAATTTTTCAAGTTGACCTTGTCCCTTTCATGTCACAGCATCTATCAGAATGCATAGCATTTTTCTTACCCCAAATAGAATATTAGATGTACTGAAGACTATTGATTTGTATGTTAGCTCTTCAAGCATGATTATAAGATTTACTGTTGAGGATCAATTTTAAAATATGAAAAATGAAGGGAAGTGAAAAGTGATGAAATGGAGCTTGTCAAGTTCTTAGTAGTGATAAACCATGAAACTCTACACCCTCTGTTTCAGTAAACGGTGCCAAAAATCCCACAATAAAAGATCTACAATATATTTTGTGCCCCAATATACATCAATTAATTCACAAGCGAAACATTTTGATAAATTGAGATTTTATTTTCAGATAGAAATGTACTTCAAATATTTTTTTAATTTGCGGTTTATTCTTCTTCCAGTGATAGAGAACATGAAGAAAGCATTACACCTTATTCAGACTGAACTGTAACTTGTGGCAGTGAAATCACCATAACCTCTACGAGATGAAATGGTACAAGGAACCCCTCCACGTTTGAAATATACTCATTAGCTGATTTGTCTGTATTAGCATTTAAACTTTATAGCAATCAATTGTGGTACACAGAATTTCATATGAAAAAAATATATTCCCAGGTATATATAACACTTCTGAAAGTGAACTGAATGTTTAGAATGGATGAACGGAAATATTTAAAACATGTAAAACCTTAGCTGCACAGATAAATTCAGGGGGAATGGTAAAACGATGCAAAAAAAAAATTCTTTGAATTCTAGGTCACTGATTCAAATCTGGTCCAGTAAAGCTTGACCAGAAGTTGTAACCCATCCCATCTGATGACTGCTTGGTAGCCTGCGCCAGTTAATAACCTTTGCTGAGAGGATCAGATCAGAAGACATTTCCTAGAGAGGCTGGAGCAGAAAAGGATAATATGTTCATTGTAATTTTTCAAGAGAAGCTCAGTTGGCAGTGTGGGAGTGGCTCGTCTTTGTGTCCAGCATTCTTCTGTACGACTATGTGATTGTTAAAAGCAGAACATATACTTTGATGCTGAATATACAACTAATGCAGCTAAGTGAACAGTTTGGGCTCTGTCAGATAAAATTCAGCAACACCTAAATAAAAGGCCTTTGACTTTGAGCAAAATATACTAATGCAATGGATTAGAAGGAAGGAATTCTCAGCTTCAACATAAGCTTCAGGGCCATAACACCCAGACATAAGAATGGCCAAACTGGGTCAGATCAAAGATCCATCTAGCCCAGTATCCTGTCTTCTGACAGTGGTTAATACCAGGTGCCCCAGAGGGAATGCTAATCATCAGGTGATGCATCCCCTGTCACCCATTCCCAGCTTCTGGCATACAGAGGCTAGGGACACTATCCCTGCCCAATGGCTAACAGCCATTGATGGACCTATCCTCCATGAACTTATCTAGTTCTTTTTTGAACACTGCCATAGACTCATTTGTTAAGAAGTAATTAAGTTACTCCTAGCTATAAAGTAAAATGTTGTTAATAAAGAGATTTGCTGTTATAACAGAGTTTGAGAGAGACATGGAGAGAAATGATCTGTATGCTTCAAGAAAAATTCAATTTCTTACATCAGTCACTAATAGTATACTATCTTGACACCCAGTGAAATGAATTTTGTACCTGTAGGAAGATATTGAAAATAAAATAAAACTGTCAAATATGTCCTTCCTAACCCTGTTTGGTTTACTCATTTGATACACAATTCAAATTGTATGTGTGGCATAGGAAATCCAGAGAATAGCCAGAATAAAAGTGGTTTCACTTTGTTGTCATTTTCAAGTGTCAGGATTAGACCTGCTTGGAATGGGGGGCGGGCGGGTCCCCCTGGTGAAAATTTGAAATATCATTGAAAATTAAAATTTTCATTTTATAATAATTTATTTTTTAATGAGCCCTAGCTGTGAGTCCTGGTGTCCTTCATGTATCAAGGACTGACTCCTCAGTGCAGAACAATATTCTATATTCTCTGGTCAAGTCCAAAAAGCCACCTACCATTCCAGAGGACTGCAAGAAATATGCCTAGCAATCATAATGATTTCCACTCCCACAGTGATTGGAAATACAGTGAGAGGCTGTGAGTGAAATAAATGGAAAGGCATGGCTTCTTAAACTAGTATTGAAGACTTGATGTTACTGCATTTTAAGAGTCTGAACAAAAGAAATCTTATTTCCTTCCTTACCACTTAAGCTGGTACTATAACATGTAAGGGTGACTGGGCCAGTCATAAAAGACTCATACATTCATCTTGTACTCTATGTATTCAGACACTGTATAAAACTTGTAGTAAGGAAAGGGCATTCATCATACATACACTAATAGAAAGGAAACAGCTACACTGAGCTGCAAGACTGATTTGAGTTTATAAATGTATGAACATTCTATTCCTTGCCTTTTGTTGGAAAAATACAAAACACATGTATGTTGAAAATAAACCCAGACAACTCATCTCCACCGAATGTTATAGTGATATAACTTAAAAGGAGAAAGCCACAGAACCTGAATTTGGTCACACCAGTGTTACTCAGAATATAAGAACATAAGAAGTGCCAAGCTGCCTCAGACCAATGGTCTATCTAGCCTTGTATCCTGTCTCTGACGGTGGCCAGTACCAGAGCTTCAGTGGGAGTGTACAGAACAGGGCAGCTGGAATGATCTACCCCTGTCTTCCCCTACCGGCTTCTGGCAGAGAGAGGTTTAGAGTTGCCCTTAGAATGGGGTTGCATCCCTGCCCATCTTGGTTAATAGCCATTGATGGACCTGTCCTCCATCAATATATCTGCCTCTTTTTTGAACCCTGTTATACTTCTGGTCACACACCATCCCATAGCAATGAGTGCAACAGGTTAGTTGTGTGAAAAAGTACTTCCTCTTGTTTGTATTAAACCTGATGCCTATTTATTTCATCGGGTGAACCCTGTTTTTTCTATTGTGGGAAAGGGTAAATGACACTTATCTATTCACGTTTTCCTCAGGAGTAACTCCACTGAAGTCAATGGTGTTATTTATTTTGATTTATAAAGAATTTTTTTAAAGTGCCTATCTCTAGCTCTAAGCAACTCTGCCTTGAATTAAAAATATAAATCACCACTTTAAGTCAAAGGAGAATCAGGCCTACCTTGTGCATACTGAATTTTGCATAATTCCAAAACCAAAAGCCAGTTTTAAGAATACAAGGATGTGAAGGCGAAACAAGGCAATTCTCCCCCCCCCCCCCAACTTCAGTAACATTTTTATAACTATGCTTCTTATAGGGCCTCTCTGGCTTCAAGATTAGGCTAGATAAGTTTATGGAGGGAATGGTTTGATGGGATAACGTGATTTTAGTCAATTAGGCAATAACGTGCCAGCGCTGGTAAAATGAGGGTCCGGCTGGAGAATCTTGCCTGTATGCTCGGGGTTCTACTGATCGCCATATTTGGGGTCGGGAAGGAATTTTCCTCCAGGGTAGATTGGCAGAGGCCCTGGAGGTTTTTCGCCTTCCTCCGCAGCATGGGGCAGGGGTCGCAAGCTGGAGGATTCTCTGCGACTTGAAGTCTTTAAATCACGATCTGGAGACTTCAACAGCTGAGTTAAGGGAAAGTGGGTGGGTCAGCTTTTGTGGCCTGCATCATGCGGGAGGTCAGACTAGATGACCATAATGGTCCCTTCTGACCTTAAAGTCTATGGGTCTATGAGTCTATGAGGGCAAGTACTTGGAGCCATTAAATGCAAACTGAATGGCATTATCAGCTTCATTCTCAAGGGCCGAAGCTACAACAGCTACACTAAAAAACAGAAAGCTCCTCCCCCACAAATAGTCCAAGATCAAAGACCTTGCAACATTAATCCTTTGACTACTAATGCTTCCCTTATGCGCTCCACCAACAGAAGCCGATCCAATAAAAGATATTACCTAACCCACCTTGTCCCTCTTATATCCTGGGACCAACACGACTACAACACCATCAAAAACAAACCTCCCCTACACCTTCAGTGCTCCAGTCAGTCAACCATAAACATGTCATTGAAATCAACCACCTGCAACTGGTGCACTCAGCAGCAGGACAGAAACATTCCACTGGGGCATACATGGAATGTTTAGAGACAGGTATCTGTATAATTTTACCTTAAAAATATGCATAGTCTCTGGACACTGAGACTACATCTGTCATTTTGCCAGCAAACATTTGGGGCCCAAATCCAATGCATACAAGAAGGAATTCATGCAACATTAAGGTTGGGCAATTTCAGAAGAATTGCACCAATTAAGACTCCAATTGCATTGTTAACTCAGCTACATTCCACACCTTGTATGTTTTATATCATAATTTAATAATGGAACCAGTAACAGCAAGGTTTTTCCTAATAGCACAAACATGCAATGCAGCCAAGTGCTTAAAATTTGCTGTTACACATTTTTTGTACAGATTTCAGCTGCACAACCCTCAGACTGGTTTATGGAATATAGTATCAGCCCCATGCTGGAAGTGGGGAGGAGGTCAGGTGCCTCAGAAGCAGCACTAGCAGGTGCTAGGCTTAAAGCAAGCTCTTCTCCAGGAGACGGTGCACCACCACTGGAAACAATGCAATCTCTGCTCCCCTCTGTTCCAAGCCACTGCTGTTGGCCAATTTGGGGGAGTGGGTCAAGGACATGATCCACCCGTTTTACAAAGGCTAGTGCTAATAGTGATGGCAGCCGTGCAGAGATTCTATGCTCCCTGAATGCAAAGAATCCCAGTAAGCCTGGCCTCTTCATGGGTCATGACACAGGAGAGGGGCTTCCTGAGCTTTAACAAGCTCATCTATTCCCCGTCCATGTTTATTAAAACAATAATCACTCGTGCTGCTGGTTAGGGTGCCTTGCAACCCCTACTGTTGCATTTTAAAAGCACTTTATGAAACAGTTTATTTTTGTTATAGATGCATCTCATTAGGTATAAAGCCATTCCTCCTTTTCTGAGTAACCCTTCAAACTCCCTACCCCCTCTCAACCCTACCTTTCTCATCAATAATACTCACTTCACCTAATTGAAATAAGTCATTATTAGAGCTAGACAAAACTTTTAATCTGAAAACTTTTTTGCAGAAAAATGCAGATTCAGGTAGACCAAAGCAATTCATGATTTTGAGTCCATTTTGATGAACTTTTTCTGCAGAAAAAGGGGAAAAAACAGACACGTTGAAGAAGTTTGTATCTGCATTTCTGAAAGAAAAGGTTCTGATGTCTTATTTCGGAAAGACGGTTCACTTTGGGATGTCCCTTGCTTTTAAAACATTTAAAAAAAAAAAAAACTTTGAAACAACACATTTTGGTTTGATCAACACAAAATGAAGCATTTTTCAACATTTTAGTTCTATGTCTGATTAGCTTTATTGGGCCTACTAGCTGGAAGATCCCATTTCTGATTTCACCTTCTTTCTTCTCTCATTTATTCAGTCCTAAGTATCAGATTCAATTCTGCCCGCCATTGTAGCCTTGCAAGCTCATTAACTTCAGCCAAGGACAGAATTTGATCTTTAATTCTATCATTTATTGATGACATGAGACTAGATGTCCATTAAAATTTATCAGCTATATGTAATGGGACTAATTTACACAGGAAGCAAGATTTGGGGCTATTATAATTATTCATATTACAGCAGCACCTGCATATGTGCTAAATGGTGTAAGACACAAGAATGCATACTCTCTGCCCTAAAGAGCTTGAATATGAAAATTAAAACCCAGCATAAACCCAAAACAAATCACCAGCACCGCAGTCAATGGTGGAGAAGTAGGCAGTATCACAAACATGGTCACTGCTGATAATTTAGCCTCCTTGGACATGAAAACAAAGTGGCTAAGAATCATATCAGATGCCACAAATATTAACACAAGTAGATCAAAATACCTGTGACTTAGAGGGTCTAGGAGGGAGCATAGCAGTAGAAAAAATGAGAGGATTTAAAGACCTGAAATGATGGCATAAAAGAAAAGATTTCAGGAGCCGTAAGGTAATGAGGTTTCAGATCCAGTCCATTGGGTGGAGCTATGTATTCAGAGAACAAACACATTGTGTATTTGTAGAGTTCAACGTGTTCCTCTTTCTTCAGTTTTAAAGTCTCTTTAAATTAACAGTTGACCTGCCCCTTCTCCCCCCTTGAGATTTACTTTTCCATGTACCAGACTTGGTGCTGTAACAAGAAGCTGAAATCTCAGATTTATGTCATTTCTCAGAGATGTGTGTTT